AAAAATGAACTGATTTTACCCCAAGTTGAAATGCTGGTTATTCTTTCCAGAGGTTAAGCAGCACACACAGACAGAAGCAGACACATGGTGTCATCCATTCAACAATGGGGAGTTTATCTGAAAACTTCTTCAAACTAACACGGAAGGCAATTTTGACCATATACAAAAGAGTATTTTGTACCAAAGACTTTAAATGTGTAATCTCAGTTTCAGCCATCTTCAATATAACAACACTGTTAACTTTTCAGACAGGGACAGGTTTTTAAGACGATTTTCTTTAATCTCGAAACTTACACCACTGTTTAATTTATTTATTAGTAGTATATTCCTCAGGACAGAATTGCTCCTAAATTGCTTCTTCAACTCTGAATAAACTAAAAAATGTGACAAAGTATACAGGCCAAATAGAAGCTCTAACAGCCATAAAAGTACATCACTACTTACTCATCTGCATAACTAAAACCTCTTTGCAATGCAACAGACCCAAAGCTGGTGGAAAAGCACATCCCTGGGAAAGCTAGAGAGACACTGCCACAGATGATGGTACATCTTCTGTCCTCAAGCAGCATGTTTTACTGATAGTTTGCTGGTTCTTAAACTAAATCCTACGCTTGATTGTTGGAAACAGTGGGACTGGGCAAAAGGCAGCTTATTTCTGGAGGCAGGAAGACTCCTAACAAAATAACAACGTTAAAGATACCTTACTCATCCTAACAAAAGCTGCAGCTGTGGTATTGTATAGAGTAATCCATATCACTCAATGGAAGAATTTAATGTGATTTAAATAATTATATAGATCCATTTTTCTGGTATTTCAAGCCATTTTTCAATCATAACAACAGAATAAAAATGGCTATAGAGTAAGTGACTTTCCCTACATAATTTTTTCTTCAAATGATTAAATAGATCCAAAGTTCCAACTGTGAAGATTCCATACATCCTTACAAGAAGATGAGGTCTGATCCTAAACTCCAGGCATGACCACTGCACTCCTGATGGATGGCACTTTCTTTTATTCTAAGACAAACAGTATAGACAGTGCAGATGACACATCTGCATCCACCAACCAAGGATTTTTTAGCCATCATTACTGATTTAAGGGGCTGACTCACCTGCAAGATTTTGCATATCCTTCATAAAATGCTTCTTCTTTGGCTGCATTACCACACTGCTGGTGTTTTCTGTATCAGAATATAAATCAGAGAGAATTTTTATTTTATGACTATTGATACAGAACAGTTAGGATTAGCTGACAGACCAGTGGGTTGTGCTGCCATCCATACTGACCTCAAGAGGCTGGAGAAATGGGCTGACAGAAACCTCCTGTAGTTTAACAAGGGGAAGGGCAAAGGCCTGCACTGAAGGAGGAACAACCCCAGGTACCAGTATACACTGAGGGCTGCCCAGCTGGAAAGCAGTTTGGCTAAGAACACCCTGGTAGTCCTGGTGGACACCCAGTTGAATGTGAGCCAACACTGTGTAGCTACAGCAAAGAAGGCTGATAGTTTTCCTGGCATTTTTTAGACCACACTTGGAGCCCTGTGCCCAGGTTGCGCTCTCCAGTATAAGGCTGACATGGGCATACTGGAGAGAATCAAGTGATGGGTGACTAAGTTGATGAAGGAGACTCCAGCTGAACACTTGGAAACACTTTTTCACTGTGAGCACAACTGTGCATTGGCACAGGTTGTACAGAGAGGAAGTGGAGTCTCCAGTCTTGGAGACATTCAAAAGCCATCTGGAGAGTCTGCTCTAGGTGTCTCTGCTTGAGCCCATGACTTCAGAGGTTGCTTCTAGCCTCAGCCATTCTGCAGTGTTTACATCTCCCTATCCCTGGCTTATTCCTGCTAAGTGAGCAGTTCTGCACTGCGGCTGTGAGGGGCAGCAGGATGTGGCTGTCAGCTGGTTCAGGGTTGCAGACATCTCTCTAGCACCCCTGAAGAGTGATATCACTCCTCTGCTCCACCACATGCACCCCAAATACTTGACAAGGCCAATCTGAGAGAACGACGTTCAGACAGTCCCTACAACCAAGACCCCATGGTACAGAGAAGTGCCCACCTTTGCCTTTGCTGACTTTGGGATTTCTGTACACAAAACGATCCAAGAATCTCATTAACGTGAAATCCTGCAAAGGGTCGCCAGAGTACTGAATGTGATTTCCCTGAAAGAAGGAAAAAGCCAAAAACCATTAAGGTCTTCATTTTCAAAAAACACCATCTAAACACAGAGGACTCTATCAGTTCAAGAACAACATTAAAACATACTTTCAAAAGATAAAGACTTGGGGATAGTATATCACATAATGCTGACCAGGTTCTTCTTTTTGCAATTTCACTGTTTGCTTAACTAAACCACAACTCCTTTACTCTGTTTCAGTGATAAACTGCCTTGCAATGTACTATGCTAACAGCAGTCAATACTCAACACCATATATTCAAATGAAAAATAAATATTTTCAATACATATTTGTGAAAGTTGGGAGTGGTGTTGGCATGGCACCACAACAGTATTTAAAAAATAATTTGTTCCTGTAGTAAGGTTTCCCATATTAAAAAAAAAAAATATATATATAAAACCTCTAATAAAGCTTTAAGAATCATATAATACCTACATTTCTACAAAACTAAAACTTTAGTAAGCAGTGTCCTTTACACATAACATTGTAATTCCATGAAAAGCTTGGCTTTTGAGAGTATGATAGAGTTCTGCAGAGCTGCTAGTTACCCACAAAATGCAAGGAGACTTTATAATGCATTTTTTCAAATGGCAAAAGACACCTGACATAAAGTATCAAACTTCCAAGCAACGAGCTAGCAAAAGCACTTACTTTGAGAATTGTTTTTGCAAACAGGGCCACAGACGGATGAAAATGTTCAGAAAGCTGAAAAACATGAGTCATTGATTTATTTCTAATTAAAACATATGCTGTAAGACCACTCTGTGACTTACCAAGTAACAGATATACACACAGTAGTGCAAGGCTGATTAAGTACTTTATCAATTGAAGAACATAAAGTTCTAATCTTCTATTTGCATTAAATATATTTTCATTTACAATTTTATTTAAGTCAACACTAAAAAGCTTTCATGATCAAAGCTAAGATCCAATAGTCAAAAAATATTATTATTGCCAAAATCTCCACATCAAAATTTCCTAATCCGTACTCAAGAATATCAGTATTGTATGGAACATATACAAGCTTAAAGCTGAACAACGTATCAGCTTTAACCTTTCTGTTGCTACTCAAGCAGCTACTTCAAGAAAGACCAAGCTCTTTTTTCTCTCTTCATACAAGGGCCACACTTTTAAACTTAACAACAGCAATTCAAGAAATGTCCTACCTTCTTCAGTTCCCAAAGGCTTGTACTTTCAGCACCACAGTATAAAGGACTTCGGTGCATAGGATCATAGGAAGCTTCACTCTTCCTGCCTGTGGGATGAAGGGGAGCAAAACAAATTTTCTCAGGCAATTTTAGAAAAGTATTATTCTCATTTCCTCATAACAGGAATGCTGCCCATCACTCCCAGGTGGACAGGCCAGGGGTTCATCTGGCAGCAGGATAAGGCTGTATTCAGCTGCCCTTCACAGTGAAATACACTAGTCAAGAGTCTTTTCATCACTGCTGAGGTAACAGATAAATTGCTCTGATTGGTTGCTTTCAACCAAACTTCAATTTAAAAACTAAAATAATGTTTTAATCACTTAATCTTACAACAACTCTTGACCAACATGTCCCTGTTATGGACTCTTAGCTGTTAAATTATGTATCTTCTTGCTGATTTACCTCTCATATTCAAATTATGCACCCACGAGGCTGATGAATTTGAATTGTTTGCTTTAGCAGAACTTTCCATTGTACTTTTCTTTTCATCTTCTGCTTCTTTGTCAGCATCCACAAATTTTTCCTCATCCTCTTCAGCCTCTTCTTGATCCTTAAAGCACTCTTCATCATCTGACCCCTAAAATACAAAAAAAGTTAGCAAACAGCTTTCCCTTTCTAGATTTACTCTGATTTTTTAGAAAAACGCACATAAACTTCTTGAGCTACTTTTAAAAATTTAAACAAATGATGGTTGATGTTTAAGAAATGCAGATTTTTGTCCTTGATATAGCACTTAAAATTGAACTTTATTGCTTAGAACACGTAACTATAATGGTCCCTCCCCATCTCAAGAAACATCTTAGCAAATGGTTACTAATGAAAGGTTAGGAAAAGGTGCTTATGAAAACAGCTCTTATTGAAAAAGCAATGAGATAAAGAAATCATCTTATACCATGTGATCCTGTAACTGGACCCTTAACTCTGGTTTTACTTTCAAAAGCTCAGACAGAAGGTACAGGGTTCCACAAATGAAGGGTGGCATTTGTCCACAAGTGACTTGAAGTAGCCTCTTCACAAAGGCCTTCACACGCCGCAGCACCACATCTGCCTTCAGAGACTTATAGACAAGATTTAGAAACATGGAGGGCTTTGAGCACGTTGCCAAAGCAGGATCTAGAAGCTTCCTGCAGGACACACAGAAGAAATTTTGCTGATTGTCACAATGCACACAGGAGAACAACTGCTATTAACAACAATTACCTACATTTTTCTTGAGTGCTAGCTAAAAAACTAGTGACAGCTTGCTCCTCAGTACTCAAAAGCATTAAGATCAATCCTGAACTGACAAATATTTCTGGATATATATGAGACATTGAAGATAAAAAAAAAAAAATATAATTCATTGGTAAACAAAATATTGCAAGAATATAAAAAGAAACTGAGTTCAACTGAAAACTGTTTCAAAATTTGAGATATTCAGCATTATGAAACTAACTAATGTTCATTTGTCCAAAAAAAAGAAAGCAAATTGTTAAAAATCAGCATACTTCACAATCAGATTAGACATTTGTACTGGCAAGTTAATTTTCTACTCCAATTTTTTTCCAGGCTGCCAAGCACAGTAGGGCCCTTAAACTGTGCACATTCTCATGGAACCTGAATTCCCTTTTTAAAAAATCAGTAACCTCCCCTTGGCCATTTAAACAGAAGCCTGTAAGGATCCTCTAAAAAGTCTAAGCAATCAGTTGGGACAAGAAAAAAAGCAGTATTTTTGTAACACAAGGCCTTCCAGCTACACAAATTAAATCTAAAAAATTTAAGATAATATTCCTCCTCTTCAAAATAAGGACAAAAAGAAACAAGATTTTAGGCTATTTACGGGCCAAATTTACAAGCCTAATTACTTCACAGACTAGTACCTGTAAAAGTGATTTCAGAAGAAATAGTTATCAATTAATTTTAAATAATATCTGGAAGTAAAGCAAGCCACCAGAAGACTGGCAAAGGATGAAATGCACATGTGTTCTCAGAACCTATCACTATCTTTTGTGATGCATGCATTTTCTTCCAGCTCCTACAAAACATCAGAAACTTTTAGCCAATGAAACACAAAGCCATCAAGATCTTAAAAGCAAAGTGAAATTAAAATGAAATTTTTTCTTTTAAAAATTTATTTTCAATTTATTTTTTCATTAATTTCAATTTACTTTTATTTTCATTTTAAGGCATTTCTACAATTTCTTAAAATTAAATTTATATAAAAACGCAACCCTGTCACTTACTTGTACAGTGCTGTGTAGTACCTGTCCGACACAGTCTGCTGAGAGTCCATCACTTGGAACAGCAACATCAGGGCCTGGACACTGGTACTGAAGTTCACAAGATGCAGAACTTTGAACAAAGTATTCATTTGCTCTTTCACTTTCTCATCACCAGTCTCAGCGTAAGGGTAAGCTCTGTTTACCCCACAAAGAAGAGCACTGAGCATTTTGGATTCAACATCTTTTTTCTTTATACAGTTCCGGAAAAAGCAGAAGTACAAAGTTATCAGTTTGTTAGCCAATGCACTTTCTTCATGGCTGAGGACTATCTGATTTAGAAAGCAGATAGCATAATACTGAGTTTTCACATTGATGTTTGAGCGGTACAACAGCCTCTCCACCTCGCTGCACACTACTCCCTTCATATTTGGATGCTTGTGAAGTAACGTCTCTAAAAGATAAGAGGCTTTGGTGGCAATCTTGTTCTGAGGGTCACCCAGTTTATTCACCAGCAGAACCAGCAGAGCTTTCTCCTGCTCAGGCTTGTTACAGAGCAGCTCATGGGAAACTGCCAGCGCTCGGGATTTGGTGGCTGTCAGACAATCGTGGCTCAGTGCTTCCAAGGCCTGCACGAACTCTGCTATCTGCAGCTTCAGGTGATGCTCAAAGTACCAAAGTATCAGCCGCCTGTCTCTTGAATCCTTGTTGCCACTCGACATCTGCACTATGTTGTTCAGCGGTCTCTGCGAGAAAGACCACAATTTTCGATTGTCTGGTAAGATATCTGTAATGAGAAGCTCCTTGAAAGTATCTAAAGCCATAAGGCTCTGCTGCCTGCTGCCCTTTTTCTTTATGAGGCTTATTAAGTTCTCAACAAATTGGAGACTGTGGACAGCACTGTCCTGGATGAGAAGGGTCATCGCTGCCATCCTGTCAGCCAAGGTACCTGAGGACACAACAGTTTTAATCCACGCCGAAGAGGCCCCCTTCTGATAGTCTGTCTTATTCTTAAACAGGTCTGTCTCATGTTCATACAGCTTTTGGGCCAGGGCCTTATACTTGGACAAAAGTGCCTGATTCTGTGGCTCTGGAGAGAATTCGTTGGTGTATTCCAGATCATACCACTTGCTCCCTGGTTTGATCAGGATTGCTTGCCTAGCATGAAATTCAAAATCTTCTTCCAGCCTTTCTTTCTTTGCAGAAGGCTGTTGGCCCTGATCACCACCAGCCTGCTTCTTTTTGCCGGTCACAGTGTCTTTCACACTGCTTGCCTTCTCCTTTCCTTTTTTTCCTTTTTTCCCCTCTAGTGAAGAACAATTTGTTTCTTTCTTGTTTTTCTCTTTCTTTGGAGGCTTCTCTTTCTCTCTGCTGCCACCATCATCCTCATCCTCATCCTCCTCCACCACCAGGCAACTCTTTGCATACTTGTTGAGCCCCAGGGAGCTGATGAACGCCTCCAGCTCCCCTTCCTTCAGGTCATCGATCGTGTCCTTCTTGCCCCCGTCCACCATCTCGCTCTCCTCGTCCACGGCACACAGCATGAGGTAATCTTGCTGCGAAGACAGGGCACAGCTGTCACAGGCAGATATGGTGCAGGGTTTGCCAAGACTCCCAAGGCTTCCCCACAGAATCCTTAAATGGTTTGGGTTGGAAGGGACCCTAAAAACCATCTAGTTCCAACCCCCCTGCCACGGGCAGGCACGTCCCACTGGACCAGGTTGCTCAGAGTCCCATGCAGCCTGGCCTTGGGCACCTCCAGGGATGGGGCATCCACAAGTTCTCTGGACAACCTGTCCCAGTGCCTCAGCAGCCCCTGAGCAAAGAACTTGTTCCCAGCATCTGCGTGGGACCCCGCACGGGCCCG